GAGAAAGAAAGAAAGAAAGAGAGAGAGAGAGAGAGAAAGTTAGTTAAGTAAAATAATTCTCAGGAAAAAAAAAGAAGAAAGGAAAAAGAGCTGAGAGGGGCCGGCAGGTGGCGTAGTTGTTAAGGGCACTGGACTCCCACATGGCCAAACATGGTTCAAATTCCAGAACTAGGGGCTTGCTTTCTCACTCCCCACCCCCATCTCTCTCTCTCTCTCTCTTTCTCTCTCTCTGGAAATAGTAAAATAATAATAATAAATAAAGTTAAATAAAATAATTCTATTTAGAAAAAGGGAGAAAAAGAGTTGAGGGGCTGACAGGTAGCATGGTAGTTCAGGTGCTGGACTCCTACATGGCCAACCAAGTTCAAGTCTCAGACTTGGAGTCTTGCTTTCTCACTTTCCCTCCCCCTCTCTTTCTCTGGTGAGCAAACATGCTGCATGGCAAATTAAATAATAATAATAATAAATAAAATTAAGCAAATAATTTTAATGAAAAAAGATAATTATCTATTACTAGGTGACATACCTCTGCGATCAGCTTTGTATTTGACTTTTCTAGTGAATCAACTCTTGAATGGAGGCTGCTGACTGTGCTGCTGAAATTAATAAAGAAAAAACTCATTCAAATCAACACAGTCTCACAAAGGCAAGAAAAAGAATGTTATCCTGGACTACTTATATTCACAGACATGCACCAAATGCCTGTCTACATTTCTGAGTATTGGGGCTGGCCGGTGGCCGGTGGCATGGTAGCTAAGGGCACTGGACACCCACATGGCCGACTATGGTTTGAGTCCCAGAGAGAGTGCTTTGAGGCTTGCTTTCTCTCTCTCTCTCTCTCTCTCTCTCTCTGTCCCTCTCTGGTCAAATGAAAATAAAGTTAAATAAAAAAAAAATTCTGAGTGTGGAAAGTTCACTAACTTGGGTAAATTTATTCAGCTAGGAGAATAACAAAGTCTGCAAGAGAAGAATGGATATTTCCAGTACAATTTTATTTGGTGCTGTTCATTATTTTTTATTTATTTTTATTTTATTAGAATTCTTCTTACATTTAACTTTTAATATTTAGTAAACAAAATTCCACACAAAGACTACTAAAGATTGCTAAAATTGTATTTTACATTATTTTTAAGAGGATGAATATGTGCCTTGGGCTGGCCTCATGGCTAGTGGTTAAGAGAGCTGGATCTCACATGGTCAACTGCAGTTCAGATCCTGGCTCTGGAGATTTGAGGAACATGCCAGGCACCTGTGCATTTATGCTCCAAATCCCAACAGGGTGGAGAAAAGGAGGAGAAGAGGGAAAGGATTACTTTTTCCCTCTCCCTCTCCCTGTCGCTGTTTCTCTCTGGGGAGTATGAGTCTTCTGGCCTTAAAAAAAAAGTTATAATTATATGCCTTAATGAAGCATAAAATGATAGTCTTTAATTCAAGCCCCATCCTGTTTCCCCTCTCCATTTTCATAACCACTAGAGACCTACAATTACCCATGGTTTAGAAATATGAATATGAGATACCCGACATCAGGTAGCAGTCAACCTGTAGCTAACCAATACCCTGTCTTGCAAGAGTACAGTCTGAAGGTTACATCTCACGAACATACTTGTTTTTGCATTTTTAAGTCAAATCAAGATTGAACATGATTGTACATTTTATTAAGTCTGCTATCTAAGGCCTACTTGAAAGCACCTTCTCAAACTTTCTCTAATAAAATGAAATATGATGTATATATTACAGCAAAATCTATAATAGATACAATGATTTTTTTTTTTAATTTGCCAGAAAGCACATACACTTGCCAGTGAGAAACAGAAGGAGGAAAGGCGAGAAAGCACTCCCCATAGGGCACAGTCATGCTATAATCTCTTCTTCATTTCTGCCTCCTTTCAGGATTCTGGGTACCCACACATGAGTGCCTGGCATGTTCCCCAAGCTGTCAACTCTGGGACTTGAACTGCAGAGTCATTCATGTGAGAGCCACTTTGCCTGCCAGGTCACAGGCTGGCTCGACACAAATTTTATACCAGCCTTGGTATTTTAGTTTAAATGGTGGGGACCAGCAGATAGCATAATGGCTACGTCACTTGGCTCTCAAATAGTCGACTGTGATTCAAATCCTGGACCCGGTGGCTTAAACTCACACTGGGCGCGTGTGCATGCGTGCCCAAGATCCCTAGAGGAGAATGGAGGAGAAGGGATTGCAGCATGGCCATCTCCTCTGGGGGGTGATTTCTTACTTTCTGTCTCTCTCTGTCTTTCTGGCAAGTGCACACACCCTATAGCAAAAGCCTCTCCAAAAAAAAAAAAAAGTTTAAACGGCGAAACCAGAAAAATGTTTTTCAATGCGTATTAAATCATTTTTTAAGACATAATTATTCTTAGGTAAACAAGTGGAGATTTTTGCAAATAGCACCCAGGTGTCTGGACACTCAGACAGACAAGAACAAGACTGGGAGACCTAAGGACATGGTCATGGGACCTGTTTTACTTCCTTCTTATGTCAGTCACCCTGACGGTTTTAAGAACCTCCTGAGTTTTAATTTCCCTCCTATAAAACAGAAAATATTTGTCTTGCTTTTTTATGTGAAGATCAATTTGATAATAATCAAAAAAGCACTTTGGAAATAATAAACCTTCAATATTGTTTTTCTTTTAGTAAGAGACAATAGGTAAGTTCTATTTGTTTCTGTACTTTTGAAATATTCTTGGGCCAGCTCTGTGGCCTGGTGATGGGGCAGCCAGATCTCACATGGCCAACCGTGCAGTGTGAGTCCTGACCCAGCAGCTTGAGAAACACACATGTATGTTTGTGCATGTCCAAAATCCTGAAGAGGGAGAGATGGAGAAGTGATTGCAGCATGCCCATTCCCCATGGGAGGTGTCTTCTCTCCTCTTTTTCTCCCTCTGTCTCTCTTGGTAAGAGTAGACCCCCATAAGATTTTTTTTTTAATTTATTTTATTAATGATACAAAGTATATGTGCGTGCATGAGAGAGTCACCCCTAACAGGCCAACAGGGAGAGGTGTAATCATGCTGTGCTCGCCTTCCCCAAACTCCAGCTCATCGGGACCCTGTGCATATGAGCAGCCAGGGTGTTTTAGGTCAACTGGGCTGGAGGCCTGCAGTTGGGCATGTGGCCTCTGCCCTGCAGTTCAGTACGCTAGCCACTGCACCACCAGGCTGGGCTGACTTCAGAAATACTCTACATGTTCAATAACTGCACTTTATTAGAACAAACAAAATGGTTTTAAAACATAGAGTATACAAAAGCAAGGCACTAGTGCTGCTGTAATTAATTGATACACATGATTTAAAAGACTGAGAATAAGAAAGCTCTTTTGAACAAATGGAAAAAGGCTCCATGATAAAGCTGCTAAGTGAAAACAATAAAGTACAGAATAATGTGACTCTCTCAGAGGAGAGGGAGAAGATAAAAGAATACACACACACCTTCTTGCCTATTAGCATGAAATGTCTCCAGACACATACACAAGGACCAAGTATATTAACTATTTATGAAGAGGAATACTAGATGATTGGAGGTCACAGAGGAGAGTCTCATTTTGTGTTCCTATTGAAGCCTGACTCATATGCATATATTACCTGTTCCCCCCAGATAAACAAAAGTTTATGAATAAATAAACAATACAAAGCTGCACTTAGAAACATAATCTCAGAAATACTGATTCTAAAATACACACATATTTCTTATGATTCTTATTATTAAAACTCCAGGGTCAGCTCCATGACCAAGTGATTAAGAAATCTGGATCCCTCGGGACCAGCAGGTGGTGAGGTGGTTAAGGTGCTGAACATTCCCACAGTGTTGAACCAATGATCATGGTTCAAGTCCTGGGCCAGGCAGCTTGCTTTCTCACTTTTCCTCTTTTTCTCTCTGGTTAAACTAAAAATGAATGAATGAATAAGTAAAATTCAAAATAAAAAAGAAATCTGGATCCCATATCGCCACATGCTTCAAGATCCCAACCCAGCAGCTTAAGATATACTCTAGATGAGACCAGCAGGTTGCATGATGGCTAAGGTGCTGGACCCCCACATGGCCGACAGTGGTTCAAGTCCTGGACTTGGCAGCTTGCTTTCTCTTTCTCTGTCTCTCTCTGGTGAGAGCACATACCCTACAGTAAAAATTTAAAAATAATGATAATAAATAAAATAAAATAAATAATTCTTTTTTTTTTTTTTTGAAAGGTTTTTCTTTAGGGTG